TCTATATCACTACGTCCACAGGATAGTCGGATATATTAACAGGTATAGTAGACGGCGCCAGCCAAATCATATCAGCAACGCATGCTGCATATCTTCCAGGAAAGAAGTCCTGGACAATCAAAAATGCCAAACCAAATATATCAAATGCATCATCGCTATGCTGCGTCCTTAAGCAGGACCTCCGCCCAAGCCTGCGACGTTGTTAGCAACTGCTTCATTAAAGAATCTGGAGGGATATACTGACCCGCTGCAAATGCAAGATACCATGTACGTGACGCGCCACCATCAATCCAGCTGTAATCGAAGTTGGACTGTGCGAAGAAGTTCCACGAAGATGCAGGGTCAATCAGGGCCAGGTTGGCGTACAAGACACCCTTCCATCCTCCGGTGACGTTCGACGCAGGGTCGGTGGCGTTGGCCGAAAAGAGTGCATTCCACTCCTCGCGAACAAAGTTCTGGCTTCGTACATATGGCGACGAAGGCAGAAGGGGCAGCATGTGGATGCTTTGACTAGATTAGCATGATGCACGAATAAACTCATAGAGGACATGCATACCCTTGGATGTACTCCAGGTTGTTACCGAAGTAAGTAGTATGATCAACCTTGTTCTCAAACAGCTTGAACACATGTCAGTTACTAACGATGAAAGTGAAAGGGCAGGCCCGAACTTACAATGCCAGTCACCTTGTTGGCGATAAAGTTGGCAGGCTGGTTCTTGTTGTCACTCTCCATGAGGAAGTAGTTGTGCAAGCTTCGTCGGAGGATTCCCAGCATCAGGTTGCCGCGGGCTTCCATGCTAGCATCGCCAATCGTCTTTCCCCACATCTTCAGAGCATAGGCGAACATTGTATCTTCCGAGGTTGATTCCTCGTCCTTTCCGTCAAACGACTCGAACAAACCCTTGGCCCACGAGTGCCCATGGTACCAATCGAATGAGCGCGAGAAGGGGAAGTACGGGTCGTTTGCGGCCGAGTTTCCAGCGTCGCGAACAAGCATGTTCACCCAGGCCTTGTTGGAATCCGTGAGCCATGTCGAATCAAGTGACCCAATAATGGCAGCAGCATGGATAAAATATCCATAGTGGAAGTGGTGGTCATTGTAGTAAGTGTTTCCAAAGTCAGCACCAGAATCGCCTCCGTAGCTGGCAGAGGACACCACTCCCCTCCATACGCTGTCATACACCAAAGGGAACTGTTGCTTGTTGTCGACGAAGCGAGAAAAGGCGGTCTTGAGGTTCTGCAAGGCCGAGGCTGCCAGATCAGGGTTACCTCCTAGCTTATTCACTGTGTAAACAAGGGTCGCGAATTTGCTCAATGCCTTTCCACTGTAGTACATGCTATTCAGGTCTGACTGTTGATCGATGCTTTGGTTGAGCTCGGTGGGCGCCACAGAGAGGATGACTTGTTTGGCAGCAGCGCTCAGATTGTTGACATTACCGGACGATACAGTCCACGGGTCGAAGCCCATTTGGGTCGGAAGGTTCGGCTCAAGCATCGTCCAGGTTTCTCCTACAACAGCAGTTGCATTACCCTTTGTCGTTGTCCGAAGCGAGATACTGGTCATACGGCCCTTGGTAGTGTTGTCAAACGATTCGACGTGATGGGGCAGGGCATACATGAGCAGTGGTGTCTCTTGCAGCTGCTTCCCTGTCTTGGCGAATGCCAGATTGTATGTACCAGCACCGTTTAGAACCGACCCGGATACAGCAGCTTCCAAAGCAAAGACACCGCTAGAGCCGTCCAACAGCTTCTCCCCAGACGCGCCTGCTGGGTTCTTGGTGATTTGGATCGTACCAGACCACCCGCTTGGGCCACGGAAGTTGGTGTTGGATTCCAGGCGGAAATCCGGGTCCTTTCCATCCTGAGGAATGGCATAAACAAGCCACTCTGTTCCATCCGCCAGTGACACCTTGTATTTGTAGATGCCAATCCGGGGCGAGGAAGCCGTGACGACTTTGCTGAAGAAAACACCACTCTGGATCAGGGGCTGTAGGTTGTTGTACATGCCCGTGACGAAGCCCATTCCCTGCACCAGAGGGATGGTAATTCTTTGGCTTGACCCGGGAGTGGGACTCAGAACAGCGTCAGCGGAGAATGGCAGAAGATTTTCCGCGGTCAGCACAGTCGAGGTATTCAGTTCTGTGGCCGACAGAATCATATGCTGAATGCCAATCGGGTTGATGTAGTACTGGATGGGATTGCCAGGAATGTTGGTGTTGGTGGGGCCATTTGCAACGACATTAACCTCGTTGTGGGAAATGGCCATTCCATAACTTTGGGCATTCCCGCTTCCTTTCGCCCATGACACACCATAGGGATGGGTAAAGGTAGTATTGGTCTGCGAACCTAGGAAGAGTCCAGCGTAGAACTTGTTTGTCTCGATCGGTGTCGTGACATTTTCCTGTGTTTGTTAGGAAAGTTATGACATCTTGAAGACGGAAATACATACAATTCCTTTCTTAGGCACAGGATGATCGTTCCGCGCCGTAATGGTTTGCGGAATTGGACCTGTCGCCAATGGCACAAAGACGTCCTGACCAGACATTGATGTAACTGAGGCTAAGGCCAAGGCATGTTAGAAATTATAAGACAATTACCCAATGAAAGTCTTACCTTGTACGACAGATGAAGTGATTGAATTCTCGGCTTGCGTTGTTTGACTTGCGGTCGTGGTCAGACTTGCTGAGCTTGAGGGCTGGGCCTGGCTCGCTGAGCTTGAGCTTGAGGACTGGGTCACGCTTGTTGTACTGGGTGCTTGACTGCTGGTCTGAGAAGTGGCGGTTGTAGCCTCTGGGACGTTCTGACTAGGAGCTTCCGCCGTGGAGGTTTCAGAAGTCTCTGGCTCCGTTTGTGGTTTGGTAGCTGAAGTAGTTGTATCCGCACTAGCCGGTTTATATGCTGATACCGGTACGGTCACTGGGTAATTCTTATCCCAGCCCGGTAGAAACTCGCTCAATAATTCGTTTGGGAGGTTTGCGGTATCTCCCAGGGCATCAAACAGTCCATCAAGCCCCAAGGGGTCTTTATCCTTCCCTGTGGATGTCGGGGTTGGGCGCACCGGATGGCCCTCGCGCTCAAGGCTGGTCGGATAGAACTAAATGGTTATTAGAACCAACTCCATGATAGTCTGGCCATTCGGCACTTACGCCTTTTGTACCTGCTAGTACTCTTTCAGTTTCAGCACCCGGTGGAAATTGCGTCTTCGAAGACGCAGCTGAAGAAGTTTGTCTCGGCGCCGAGTATACTCCTTCTGCAGCTAGAAGCCACATTAGTAAGAATGAAGAGCCCCATCTGTGTTTCCTCTCCATTGTGAAGATCTGTGCCGTGCTCCTCGGACAAGATATAGAAAATAAAAGGTGTAGTAGACGGTCCAAGCTCCGCCAGGCGTCCCAAGGCCAAAAGGCTTATTATATGTATTAAAGTGACCAGCCAGTGGGGTTGGTTGAGGAGAAGGATCAAAACATGCAACAAAACAGTAACAATGACCGCAATGGAATCATTAAGGAGAGTATTATAGTAGGAGCCAGAGATAGAGAAACAATCCAAGTTTGGATCTCCCAAGTCTCCTTTCGTATACAATACTATTCGAGTGTACGGAACACTCGAGAGACAGGCTCCAGTATATGAGGAAGGGATGGGAAAGGATAGTAAACAACAGGAGAAGATCGAGCGGGAGAAGACATTTTTCAAATAGCAGTGAAATAACTCACCTAGGTCGAGTATAGATTCCGGTCTCAGCCAGTAGGAATCTCAGGCCCGGGCAAAACTCCGGCCCCGGTGCAGAAAGGATACCAGACGAACACTGGCGGGCTGGAACAAGTGCCAACGGAGGTATTACGAGGCGTCGATCTGCACAATGGTCAATGTTGTGGTGTCTGATCCCAGACCTCGAGGCATAACGGAAACATAGCACGGGGAATGTAGGGTTGAGGGGGGTGGAATGCACATCCTCGGGCTCTGCAAGCCGTGGTGCATGCAGAGCGCCATCTGCCTGAAGTCGGGCGGGTATGTGCAGGGGAGATGGAAGCTTACTGCAGCCGGATGATTAAGGCAGCTGATGAAGGGGGGAGGGCAGATTGATTAATCGAAATTAATTTGCATTAACTGATGGAGGGCCAAATGATTGATTGATTGTTGATGGTGTCGTGGACGAATTACTAGTGTGAACAGATAAAAACTAGTAGTTGGTTTTGAAGAGAGAGGAGAGAAGAGGGAGAGTGGAAGGACGGGTGATGGTAACTGTTGAGTTGCTTGTCGCTGTTCTGTTTGTAAGATGCGGGTAAACCAAGAACAAGTGGAGCATCGATGGTTTACTCCTGCATCCCCCCATGCTCATATACTTCCCCAAGAACTACGTACTTTCTCCTCCTTCACCTTCTGATCAAAGGACAAATGAATACTATCCGACCAGCTTTGCGACCGGGCTTCGAGTGTCTCATGGTCCTTGACTTGACTCTCTGTGGCTTTCTCTCAAGACCTGGTCTGGGAGGCGTATGCTCCCTAGGCATCAAGGAATGTACCCATACGCCAAGGTTAAAAGTAAATTTCGTTAGTTTGATTGTTGAATGCTCGATCTCTGATTCTTCCCAGCCAACGCCCGTCGTGGCATTCCACCCTGTCAGTCGTCGTTGCAAGGGACGCAACTCTCTCTCTGAGTGGCTTGCTCCTTTCCATGGATCCAAGTCGGACCGAATCTCGATGTCCATGTGGCCTGCATTCAAGGAAACCGCTCCGCATTGGGAGAAGAGAGTATCACGGTGCAGGGACTCACCAGACCTGGTCATCTTGGATCCAAAACACTGCTTATTCGACAACCTTATAGGAGGGTGACCAACCCCGGAGACTAATGCCCTGCACAAAGGGTCCAGCACTAAAATAACTTGAAACCAGTGCTGGTCTGCAGATCGGATGCTACGAATAATCCGGTTGATGCGGGGATGACACAAAATCATCACCTTGACAACCCTCTAGTCGCAGCCTCTAAACCAATAAACCTATCGTTCGGAGAAATCTTAAAATGACTTGGTATCATGACCAAACTTAATTCTACAATAACGCCACCCAAAGACCCCAGGTAGGCAAGATGCCTTGCTCTCGTCTATCCAGATACCCATCATGACGGCCAACTCGTAGTAGCCGGACCACCACATACATTAAACCATGGGCTTTTCCATCGGTTTGATGACACCTTGCTTGATCATCACGCGTGGCTTGGTTGCATTTTGGAAAGTCTCCTTAGTAGACCACTCAGGACCGATGGGCAGACGGAGCGATCTCTCATACTGCTGCTTCGTTTCGAAGGGGTGAGGGAGTTGCGTGGCCATGTACTTGGTGTTCTAGACAGAACAGCGGACGTTAGTTCATCATGCACAAGTTAAGGATCACACGCGCTAGAGCCCGACTTATCGTCGTTCTTACCTTCTTGACCCGTTTCTCGTTGATGATGACCCGGGAGAGCTTGGCATCCTTCCGGTCTTCCGGCTTCACTCCCTCGACCTTGGTGAGGAACCGTTTCTGGCGCTTTTGCTGTTTCTTGCTGATGCCATCACCGGCCCAGCTACCCCAGCCGGGGAGGGTGTTGTCAATCACTTGATCGTCCTCCTCCTTGATGGTGTCGAACTTCTCTTGCTCGAAGTCCTGCACGACTTCGTCGCCCGCGAAAGCCCTCTTCACCAGATCATGATTCTTGAGAAGCACTGGCACGCTCTCCTCCTCATCGCTACCGTACACCTCGGCATCAACCTTCTTTTTGCTAGGTGCCGATGCCTTTTGGGGTTTGGGAGCACTCTTCGATTTACCACTGCTGACATTCGCGTCATCTAGCGTGATGTCAACAGTTTGCTGTGAGTCGTTCACAGTGGCGCGACGGTTATTGCGGTTCGTCTGCACGAGCCACGGGTTCTCCTCCGCAGCAGCAGCATCATCTTCTTCTTCTACGACTTCCTTTTGAGGACGACCACGGGACTTGTTTTGGGAGACGGCCGGTCCCTTCTTTGCGGGACGGTCAACAACAATGTCGACCTCTTGGTCCGCCTCTCGCTGATCCTCATCGTCAGAACCCGGTGCCTCTTCGAATTCATTGCGAGGCAGCTTTGCTGTCTTCGCCTCCTCCTTGTTGTGACCGAACTTCCGCCGACCGACTTCAGATTCCGCCTCAGACTGCGATTCTTCACCGTGGAGCTCCCGGTTGAGACGTCGAATTTCGGCATCATTCTCTGCTTTACGCGCAGCGTCCGCATTCTGCATGAACTTCATCGAAAGGAGCTTGGCATGAGGTCCCTTGAACTCTGCGTCAGCATCATCGTCGCCTTCCAGCTGGCTAAGCTTCTGGCGGATCTTGCGCTTCTCAGCATCTGACCCAGCCTCTTCATCCCATGGGTCCTCATCTTCGGACTCAGAACTGGACGAGCCAAGGTAGTCTTCATCACCGTTGGTGACACGCTTTCCTTCGATCCTCTTCCGTAGTTCCTCCTCCCGTAGAGCAAGATCTTGTGTGCCATGTCGAGCGTCCTCATCCCAGGCGGTCCGGCCAGTCTGCTTCAGGCTCTTCGCCCACTTGCTCTCCTTGTGCTTCGAACCCATTCTGGCCTCCGCTCTTAGACGATCGTTCTTCTCCTTCTCCTCTTCATCCAGGTCCACGCCAGCTTCTAAGAGAGCCTGGCGTTCCTGTTGCTCAAGCCTCTCTCTCTCCTTGCGGTGCACACGACGGTACGACTTGCTCTTAATCTTCTTAATGCGCTTGGCGCGCACCTCCTCCCGGAAGAGCAGATCACGACGCTTCCGTAGTTCCGCCCTGCGGGCCCTGATCTCCTCAATAGGCAGCTTCCGCGCCTGGAGCTCTTCAAACTCCTGCACTTGTTCTTCAGCCGACTTTCCGTTGTTTTCAGTGAGTCCACTCTCCTGAAGGATATTTTGAATGGTGCTTTCAAGGTCGGTTCGAGGCTCAGCAGCGCCCATACGGTGTGTCTGGTTTGCTTCGGGATCAGGCAAAGGGAACATAAGGTGCTCGGCTCGGCGGTTGGCCTTGACAGTCTCCAGCCAGCGGTCAAGAGTCTCTTTGCTCTTCTCATATGCGGCCGCTCGGTCCAGCCGATCCTGTTGGCGTTTCGCAAGAGGCGCATCCAGCTTGCCAGGAACACCGGACGTCTTCTTGTTTGAGGTTGTAGCAGCGTCGACATGCTTGAGGGAACTCTTCAGGCGAGAATCTGTAATAGAAGGCAAAAGATCGGCAATAGTGAGTTTTTTGGTAGAAGTCAGACCGAACTCCGTAGGGGCCCCTTGTTCCTGTTTTCCGCCTGTCTTTCGAGCCGTCTTCGTGGTACCCTCGGTGTTCATAGCGTTTACAAAGTCCTGTAGCTTGGAAAGACCATGCTCATCCACCTCATCTTCGTCCATTTCGTCTCCCGATAATGGCAGTTCATCGTCATTGTCGTCGGAGTCGCTGTCCTCGCTCTCAGAGTCGTATTCTTCCGATTCGTCGCTTTCAGCCGATTGCTTAGACTTAGACTTGGCCTTCTTAGCCTTTTCCTCTTCCTCCTCTGCCATGTTCATATCCCAAGCCGTAGTCAAATCTATCGCATCCTCTCCGAGATCGTCCTCGTCGTCTTCGAGATCGTCCTCCTCCGATACTTCAGCATCCTCGGACAAGTTGATATCGCGAGTGCGCTTCTTGCGTTCGGGGGCCTTCTGCTTCGGCTTATTCTTCATCGTAGAACTTCCGCGGAACGTGAAGCCCTCGAACCTTTCCTCATCACTGGAACCCATGGCTTCGTCACTGTCCAACTCGCTGTCATCGTCACTACCGACCTCGCCAATCCTCCACCGGTGTCCTTCGCCATCGCTACCAGCATTCGAGTCCATTTCCGCCTCATCGTCTTCAGTGCGACGGCGCTTGCTGTAGTCCGGGCCGTCCGAATCGTCGTCATCTTGAGGGTTGTGTCGCCTGCGTTTGAACGGTTCGTCCTGCTTGCCCAGACGGGTGCGCTTAACTCCCAGCTTTCCGGGGTTTTCGCTCTCTGCGATAGCAAATGCATTCAGGTAGTTGCCGGACTTCTTGTTCTTGGGTGCGGGATTCTTCGACTTCTGCAGGGACTGGTCCCGGTCTTTAGGACCGCGCATTTGCGTCTGCCTGCGAGGCATGATGGGCGAGTGTCGCAGCTCCTGAGCTGTGATCTATGTAAATAAAAAATCTATTCAAATAAATCCCAGAAGATTAAATGAAAGAAACAACAGCTTGAATGGCGACCACGCACCGCAGGAAGTTGTCAAGATGCAGCCGTTGATTTTTTTACTTTTCCGATGCGGACCAGGAAAAAAGTTCTTGGCGGGGCGGAGCTACTTCTCTCTAGCGCCGCCCAGAAAGAGCCTTCCTATCGTCTCTTCCCCGAACATCTTGTCCAACGCTCCTCCGTCTTGTTACCTCCGCAACCCACCTACCGTCAATTGCCTCTCTGCCTGCCCACCATGTTCAAGCCCTCGCAGCCCATGATGGCGCGCTTGCGCCTGACCACGAAACAGGTTCTTGGTGGCTACTACAAGGGTAACCGGACCGGATCGATGGGTTACTTCGCGAAGAACGGGTCATATGTGATCGATTGGAAAAAAGTCCGCACGTTCGCTGTGCCTGAAAACTTGGATCAGTTCAAGGTGGGATTTACCTTCTATAATGTGCAATTGACTGTTGGCCATAGGTTGGAATACTAACACGGATATGTATGATATAGTTGACCCCCTTCGTGACCAAGCGTATGCCTCCCACGAAATCCAAGTACACGAAAGAAATCGAGAAGGACGGAAGGATCGTCACCCTCCAGCGGGCTTTCAGTGGAAAGGACTACCTCGATATGTGGGCCTCGGACAACGGTCAGGAAGTTCTGGAGCAGGAGCGTCTGGATTCGGAGGCCGCAGCGGAATCGTCATCGACTACTCAGCCCGCTCGTCAATAATCGACATCGCGGTCCTTGCACTTTTCGAGAGGGAGAACACATTCGGGTTTTTCGGACATCATGAGGCATATCATACATACCCCCCTTCGTCCATGCACAGTTTGGCGGTTACATCAGGCATGAAATGACGCGGCGCCGAAGTTGAGTCGGCTGTTCTGGTGGTGTTGCTCTTCAGGGAGCATTCACAGAAGTGTATCGGCTCTGCATGCTTTATGTGCCGGTCCGGCTTGCGTGGACTGTATTCTATGTACAGTAGCTGTGGGATTTGATGTTGAGGGCACAGTTTTATACAGGGCTACCTAGGTATCAAGCGGTTGAGACGACAGAGCGTGTGGCTTTGGTCTTACCTTTCTTGGTACATATATTGGTTCGCGGCGCATCTCTGGGTTTTTTATTGCATATTAGCAAATGGTTTAGATTTCACCAATTACAGATTTCATGAGGTTCGGAAATACTGGTATAATCCGGTCTAAATTTTCGATGCGGTATGCATTGGGTTTAGGGTTATTTCTCTGCAGTTTGGATTGTGGAGGGACGCATATCAAGTTAGAGTTGGTGATACAAGCTGGGATATATGGCAGATCCAGCCCTAGTATTACTAGGGGCCTTCTGTATAGTAGAACGGCACCTTTCGAATAATCAAAGCATAAGAACCGCCCTGCGATTTACTATTTATCTCGAAGCACATTACTTAGTACTCAAGAAGGGGGTGTTAGGGGTTCTGGTCTATACTGTATCACATACTACCGTCTGCAGTCTTCGCTTTTCTGGTTTCATGGCTAGTAGTATTGTTGGAGATATATATATTTGAACTGTTTCTCGGAGCACTAGTAGCCGGCTCACACTCGTCATAACAATACTAAGGAATATTGAAATGGAGAATTCTCACCTATAAATCACCAGCATCTTCCAAATAGCGACGAGATGATAGACAGCCTCTGGGAACAAACACTCAGTTCTCAGCATGCAGATGAAGAATTCCAGCATCATCTAGATAGAGCAATTGGACCATTATTAAGCGTGATGTGGGCAGTGTGGCGGCAAAGTGAGTGGCAATAAAGGTATCTGGTGTAAAACGGTGCGTGGCCGTAAGAAGCAATCAGCGGCGATCCCGGAGTGCGTGCAGGACGAGACAGCAAAGAGACAGCTGCAATGCTCAATCCATCCTCCACCCACCTCCGCTTCACTGCGTGTTTAGGCTGCTCATCCGTGGGCTGCGTTATGGAGACGCTTGACTGATGCTGTTCATCTCTACAGTGACCTTCACATTTGTCCGCCCGAGTATTGTCGACAGACTTTAATCTCAGCGTGATCGTCCAGACGAAGCTATGTTCCAGTCATTTACGGGGAACTCCCGCCGTCCACGGCAGGTTAACCTCGGGGGCCGCAATACGAACCCTTTCGCCGCATATCCCTCCGGTCGACAAAACCCTCACGGCGCAGGCCCCCAGAATACTCTTGCGATTGCCCAACAGGAACGGCTTGCGAGGCAGCAGGAAAGAGAGCGGTTGACGGCGAGCCGACTCGTCCAACGGACATGGAGGGGTTATCGGAGCCGGAAGATAACGCGCAGGACGTGGCGCACCGAGTGGGATATCATAGAGAAGAAGCAGGGCACAGATCATCTCCCCTCCTTTGACATCCTCGCTCAACAGCCTGATGTTGTTTTGCAACCTTCCCTTCGGTACGGAACAGCTGCGGACTGCTTATCGCAGCTTCGTTTGCTGGTCCAGTTTCTGGAACCGTGGGACAGTGGGGATGTTGCTCGGCTGGTATACTTCTCCGAGGCGTTTCAGAGGACATTGCATGAAGTTCCCTCAATCGCGACCGAAGGGGAATGGACCACGCCGCTGAAGAAACTGGCGGGTTTGACTCTCCGTGTCTTGCGGTCTGTGACGTCGCCCACGGTGCCGGTGTTTGCGGTTCAACATCTCCTTCAGCTACTCGTCTTTCTCACGGGGCTGATACCGAAGCACATGGCACGACTAGCTAAAGAATACTACTCGGTCATGGTGATTCTCACAAAAGACTTTGAATCAATATCTACAAGGTATAAACTCTCCAGGGATAGCCTTACTGAGAGTGTGCTTGCTTTGCTTCGACCCATTACGTCCGAAACTCTTACGGCCTATGAATGGTTTGCGAAGATATATCTAACCATTCCCAACCTCCCGGAATACATTGGAAGTCTGGACGGGTTAGCAAATAATATCAATTATAAGTTGCTGACCTCCGCCTTGGGGCCGTTACAAACGCTTTTCGGAGACCGACCGAAGAGTGAAGAAGACGTGAATGCCCGTCTTTGGCTGCTTGCCTACTTTATCTTCTTCCACCGCTGCGCTCTGGGAGGTCAGACAGGTCGTCCGGCGCCAGAACCGGGTTTTGTGAAGGTGGTATCGGAGCTGCTGAACTCTACCGCTGCGCATATATCTCGGCGTCTAGAGTCAGAAGATTCTAACGACTACGATGAGACTCCCGAGCAAACGCCACTGCACCCCTTCATCAAGGAGCAGCTAGTCAGCCTTGTGAATCAAAGCAATATCACGGGGCTTCTTTCTCAGCTACACACTACGCATCTCTCTCAGGGGGAGCTGGCAAATGCTCAATCGGATGCATCGAAAGAAGCCAAGATTCTCGCAACATACGCTCTGACGCTGCTGAGAGTATTTCCTCGCCGGGGTGATGACATCCGAATGTGGTTGTATTTGGGATCGGCGACCTCGAGTGACCAGCTGACAGGCCAGCAAGGCTCAAGAATACCCGCGATCAAATATTTCTGGCAAGCATCCAAGGCTAGCAGAATCTTCGCTGCCATTAGTCAAGATTCGACGAAAGTGTTGCCTCTGCTGAAACCGGCCGAGGAATCGCAGGGTACTAGGTCTTCGGAGATATCTCAAATGGAAAGGGATGAAGAATGGACAATTATACTTCTATTCCTCGAGCTCTATACTTTCGTTCTGAAAGTGATGGATGATGAGGAGTTCTTTTCCAGCGAGTCGTCTTTCACCGCTTCCTCGAACACAAGAGTTTCCTGGACCAAGGAGAGCGCTCTTCCCTTGAAAGACATCAAGGATATGACAATCTTTCTCAAAAACCTAGGTTTCACACTGTATTGGAACTCGGCAGATCTGAGTGAAAAAGAAGCAACCCAAGACACCGGGGGCATTCGAAGCTACTTTAGCTCGTCTGCAGCGCCACCGGATGCTATTGCAAGCGTGAGGGACATTGAGATGAAGAACAAAGAGAAAGGGCTTCCCGGCGTTACGGGAATTCCGCTCGACTACTTCAAGGGTCTGGTCACTGGCCTCTTGCGGATGATCCATGAGCGAGATTCGAGACGTAAATTCCTTCCAGACGGGCACTGGTTGATGACAAGCCGCTTCGACATGGAAGGCTTCATCCCTGCCGTTGTAGCAGAAGAGGAGAATAGGCATCAGCTCCAGGATGAGGATGAGGAGGAAGAACAGGATGATTTAATGAATGATTCCTTCTTTGAGCCTTCCCCAGGCCTGATCGGTACTGGCCGCGCTCAACAGACACGCCGTATTGAGGCATTGAGACGTCGCCAACAACAGGCCGCTCGCAGGAAGCAGCTGGAGGCCGTGGCCCCGAGGATGGAAATTCTCCGCAACATGCCTTTCTTCATACCTTTCCCGACGAGAGTCCAGATATTCCGCGAATTTATCTATCGGGATCAAATGCGCCGAAGACAGGGGTATATCGACCCGGATGCCTGGCGCATGTCTGTGGCGCAGGCCTCAATGGGCCGTCTGATTGATGGACGTCCTGCTGTACAAGATATACTGAGCCGGCACCATGCCAATATCAGGCGTGAGAGCATTTTCAAGGACGCCTTTGATGAGTTCTACGAGCTGGGGGATGGGTTGAAGGAGCCCATCCAGATCACGTTCATTGACAAGTTCAATACAACCGAAGCTGGTATCGATGGCGGTGGTGTTACCAAAGAGTTCCTCACGAGCGTGACTAGTGAAGCTTTCAAATCGACAAGTGATTTGAATCTATTCGAAGAGAACGACCAGCACCTGCTCTATCCGAACCCTGCTGCAGTCGAGCAGCGGCGAGAGCTTCTACGACAACTCGGCTTTGTTGAGAACACTGCGGAATGGAACGAGAACGTTCGTGACCTACTCAGGCGCTATGAATTCCTGGGCCGCATCATCGGAAAGTGTCTATATGAGGGCATCTTGGTGGATGTCAACTTTGCCCCGTTCTTCCTGCTGAAGTGGGCTTTGACGGGCGGCACGGGTTCGGCCCAGCGTGAGACAGCCTACCGCGCCAACCTGAATGATCTGAAGGATCTTGACCAGGGAC